AACCCATGGTGACTTAGGGATCCGCCAAGACTCAGCCATGGCTTCCATCTTCCTCAGGCCAGAGGAGAAGGGTCCATGTGTCGATCTCGTTTCTGCTATCAAAATTACCAGTGAGCTCAGCCAAAAGGTTCAGAAAAATATAAATCCCTACTACCCTCTGGTGAACTAACAGTTTGCTATTGAAAATGGCCATAGAAATAGTGGATTTTCCCATTAAAAATGGTGATTTTCCATTGCTATGTTAGTTCACCAGAGGGTAAATTGATGAAGATTTCCTTTTCTGAATCTTTTTGGGACAAACATGGACAAACTGTCCAGCCCATCTGCAGGTTCTGAGGCGCGAGATTGAAACGGAGAAGCGTACATACAGCAGATGAAACACAGCAGGATGTACTCTCCTGTAACCAACGTGGATGCGGAAAACCCAGCATTTGTAGATCAATTTATATTAATTTCATAAGGGAACCATTCGTTTTCCATATCTTTATTTGTGTTGACTCTAGGGTATCCCAGTGCCTGCTGAGTGTCTGCTTGATCTTTTGAATTTCCTTCCCCACCCGCGTTTCGGATGCGTGTTTCGCCTTAGACGAAACGTGACACGGCAAAAAAACATGGGGAATCCCTTCCCCCTGTGAAATAGCCTTCCAATACGAAACAATGATTGTTTGGCGGGTATTTAACACTAATTCATTCGGGGGAATGGAAGGGATTCATAAGTGATAAACTGAGATATATGTTTGGTCCCCAATTTGACGATAACTGGAGGTTCATTCTTGGGTTCATAATGGTTTATATATATTATATTATATTATATTATATATTATAGTCATAGTATGTCATAATTCATAGCAATGGCAGCAGCGAGAACGAAAAAATTAGCTATGTAGATCTCTTGCCCCTTTTCTACTAAGATAGCTGCGAGAACAAAATGGCCATCCAAATGGCCATCCAAATGCATAGATCCAACACTGATTCGGCAGGGTGTCTGGATTGGTTTCAAGGGGGACCGGATGGTACCGGATTCTGGGATTCTGGGAGAATTCTGGAGGTATTTCTTGAGATTCTCTCTCTCTTATTTCACGGTTGTTTGCTGACTTTTGAGGTTTCAATCCTTTCCAGTGCGCCCCTCCAGGCTATTTTGAACACTTCAGATCAGTATTCGAAAGAATCCTTGGTTGGTCCTTGATCTCCTTCCCTACAGTAGCTACAGATCTTCCTGTACAGGGTAGTTGCCCCTGCCATTTGGGGAGCATGTCAGAGCCAATCGTATCCGAGAAATCACTAGGGACCCATCTTCTTTACCTAAGCCTAATCAAAAAACACCACCCCGACATCGACATCGAAAATCCACATGCAGCATCCAGATGCTACTGCATGGCTAACCTCAACCCAGTTTCCTCCACGGATGGCTCACCAGGTGGTTTACATTTGCCGACTTAAAAAAGGGGTTGTAAACCAAATCGCCATTTCACATCCTTTCACCCTAATGACCCACACTTTCCCAAGTATATAATTCCGGTTGAGCGCACATTCCCTCCTGACAGACCAACAAATGGCTAGTGACCGCTAGTGACGGCTAGTGACGGCTAGTGACACTGCAGTAACACCTTGATAACCCAACAAAACCTTCAATTCCGACCCCTCAACCCAGCCCAAACCTATTAATTACCTCTAGTTACTAGTCAGTTAGGATGTTGTGATTTCAGGTAGGATGGAACATGACAAAAATAACACCTGGCACCATAAGATTCATAAAACCCACAACCGGCCCACTCGGCTGTTCCATCCCAGATCGTCCCAGTGACATCCAGGATCAAGGCCTCCACCCTCTGCCCGATATCACGTGCCATGTCATAATGCATATCTTCCATCCCCGGTGGTGGTGCCACCGGGGGATCGAGTGCCATCTTTGGCACGGAAAAGCTCACGACTGGCCGCGGGCCGGGAACTGCGGTGGGGTGGGCTTTTAGCGAACGGGGCTGGAGCCAAAACGGGGGAAACGCGCGGAGTTGGGGTATGCAAAAGCAAACGAAGATCGCAGGAAATTGATGTAACTGTAATAGAGGGGCTGTTGCTGCTTCAAAAAATATGAAAATTTGACTTCCAGGTTCAACACGGCGGGCAAGATCCTCTGGCGGGCTAAGCGAGGCCAAGCAAAGGGCCTATATAAATGTGTTTATGAACTCTGCCTTGATGGTGTGAAATGAATCCAACTGAGCCCTTGGCTGTCAAAAGCCCTTGAAACCATCAACACGTGATGTTTGTTTCGAACCTCTTCAATACAATGTGGCTATTGATCAAACCTAGCTAGCTACCCTTGTTTTTACGTCAAAATAACTAGCAACTGGATGTTCATCCCCATATCCACATTGGAAAATCCCCGCTTTGGATCCATATCCAGCAAAAAACAACTAAGTAATCACGCATAATTCAAGAACCCGGACATATAATAAACCAATATTCATATCAAGTACATATACCCAATTATTGTCACAATGCACTGATGATATTTTCATTTTTTCCGTATTTTTGGGAACATGTCCCCCATCCAGAAAAAGGCTCCCGGCGCTTCAAAATGTCCATGGCTTCTCGATCCGAGACCTCGCAAGAACTTGGGATCTGTCCATGGCGACATAGATGTGGAAAATTACATCCATCAATGGGCAATGTTACTTATCCCAGGGGATGTAAATAAATACATAAATAAAGAAATAAACAACTATTATATATATATATATATCAGAAAAATAGTTAATCACAATTGAGTTCATCAACATTTCGTTAATATCTCAGAATTGAGTGAATCACTAAATAAATAAAAACACCATGTCATGTAGCTAAGTCAAACTTTCAACAATGATCACTTTGATTGCCATCGGGGGATATCAAGACATATTGATTAAACTACTTGTATGGTTGGCAATCAATTAGCCCCCGGATATCGTTGGCTTAATGTTCCAAATGCAATATCCAAATTCTTATCCTTGGTTTTAATTTGAACGGGGATATAAGACCGACGATAAATTATATGTTTTATTGGTACCACATTTAAATTTTGTAGCAATCAATTTGTGAGGCATATGAGGAAAACGGCGGCATGCAAGTAACCATACTAACCAACATATGGATGTACTATGATGGGGACACATAAGGCAACCTACAATTCATACAGATTCATACCACTAAAGTGGAAGATATTCCATGGCCTTTGCTGAGGATGCATTTTTAGCTCTAAAATAACGCTGTTGAGGATCCAGTCAAAACACACTCCAAATTAATATATATATAAATAAATATACTAACTAGTATTTTTGACATGTTAGTGGAACAATCGCTCCCCCCATGAGGGGCCGTTATGTTTTATTTTTTTTCGGTTGTGTTCGCTACCAACCGTTTTAGCTGCAAAACTCCTGATCGGCCAGCCGAAACAATGGGTGATACTGGATGCCAGCAAAGAAATCAGGCTAAACAAAATCACACGCATTCACAACCTATACGCAACACATGCCACGTATCTTGAGTAACTATGCATATAGATATATATATATATAAATACTATTGTTTAGATATCAAACCCTTCATTAATTGGGTATATATATATATATACATAAATCAAAGGTTTCCAAACACCGCCTGGGTCCAATCACCGCAATCTGCATCATAAATCTCAAATTTGCTTTGCTGAGCGGTGAAATTCATATTGCCCCAGGTTTTTCTTCACATAATCTTTCTTCGGAATGGAAAATCATGGAATATATAATCTTTTATCCCATGTCCACATCATTTATATGGAAAAATCCTGAAGAATCTGCAGTGTTTCATCCTTTTTCATCCATTTTCCACATGAATTTCCTTTAAGGATGCTGCGAAAAAAAAACCTGAAAACCCACGGTGATCTTCCGCGGATTCCACCACCAAGTCGCTCGGGTTAGTTGCGAGACCACGCGCTCCTCATCCAGGTCGCTTTGAAGCTCAGCCTTGCCGCGAGCTGCGACGTTGTCGAAAATATGGTCCAGCTGCAGCTATTGAAAGGCTTCGTAACTGGGAAAGCCGCGATTTTTTCTGGGAAATCCATTCGCATTCACTAAAATTAAATAAATGAAGACACTAGAAATCTTCTTTCTAATATAATATATATATAGTTTGACTGTTTTGGTTTTAAAGAACAACATTCCAAAGAAAAAAATATGGCGACTTTCTCGACTTTCCAATTGACACCTACCATACTTTACTTCAGAGCGTCCAGGAGCGGGCAAATGCGCGCCGATGTAAGAAGATACTGCACATGAAAATCCCATAAACAAAAATACATAATTACATGGCCATTACATGGGGTTTATTATACCATTACATAGTACCATTAAAATCCCATTAAAATCCCATTAACATACCATACATACATTAAATGACAATACATGACCATAGGTTACATTACATTCACATTTGCATTTGCATTTACAATCACATTACATTACCTTACATGACATTACATGACATGACATACAGCCATACCATACCATACTATATTATACCATACCATACCATACCGCACCATACATATCACACCACACATATCATATCATACACCATACATTCATACATACGTACTTTTTTTACTTACCTACATACTTACATTACACACATTACGATACGTTACGTTACGTTTGGTTACATTACATTACATTACATTATTTTACATTACATTAAATCATTACATTGCATACATTACATATATTACATATATTACACACATTAAACAGGTTACATACATTGCATACATTACATACGTTACATACATACTTGCATTAATTACATTACATTACATTACACTACACCACATCACATTATATATATATATATTGAATTACATTACATTAGATACATTACGTACATTATTACATACAGTACATGCGGTACATACAGTACATGCAAATACATGCAGTTCATACATTACATACCTACGCTACATCACATACATACATTACATTACACACATTACATTACATACACAACATACACAATATACACAACATACACAGCATACACAACATACATTACATACATACATAACACACGTACATTACATACATTACATGGATATATTACACATGTTGCACACATTGTAAACATAATTACAATACATTACATACTGTACATACGTTACAAACATAAATTACATACATAACAAAGCATAACACAACATAACATAACATTACATAACATAACATGAGATGACATTACAAAAAGCTATATACATATATATGTACAAAACCTTGCAGTACATATATAACATTAACACCAACATCATTAACATATATTAACATTACGGCCAAACACCTCGTCTTGCCCGCGCCTGTTGGCCCGCCTTCTTCGTATGAGCTGAACACATGGTAAACATGAGATATTTTAGCATTATGGTTAACTTGATGTTCTAGATCAGAACGCACAGCAGAGGGACCTGTGCGGGTTCGTTCCACCACATCATCATCATCATCATCATCATCATCAATGAAGATCTTCAACGAATATAGAAGTTTAACCCCGGTGGGAGAATTAAACCCTTATTGAAGATCTTCATTGAATGTAGAGGTTTAACGCGGGTGGGAGAATTGAACCCTTATTGAAGATCTTAAATGAATGTAGAAGTTTAACGGGGGTGGGAGAATTAAACCCTTATTGAAGGCCTTCAATGAATGTAGAAGTTGAACGGGGGTGGGAGAATTAAACCCTTATTGAAGGCCTTCAATGAATGTAGAAGTTGAACGGGGGTGGGAGAATTGAACCCTTATTGAAGATCTTCAATGAATGTAGAAGTTTAACGGGGGTGGGAGAATTAAACTCTTATTGATGGCCTTCAATGAATGTAGAAGTTTAACAGGGGTGGGAGAATTAAACCGTTTTTGAAGATCTTCAATGAATGTAGAGGTTTAACGCGGGTGGGAGAATTGAACCCTTATCGAAGATCTTCAATGAATGTAGAAGTTTAGCGGGGGTGGGAGAATTAAACTCCTATTGAAGATCTTCAATGAATGTAAAATGAATGTAAAGTTTAAGGGTGGGACTTTTATATTCCCTAATACCTTTGTTGATCTTCCCAAGACAAGAAGGGTGTGGGCGAAACGGGGTGTTTGCGCGTAACATTACATTGCATATTACTTTAAATAACATAACTTTACATAACAAAACGTAACAGCACATAACATTACAATACATACGATACATACAGTACATACAAACAAACAAACAAAACACATAAACAAAACCATACCGAACGATACTATACCATACCACACCATACCATACACGTATATATATATATTGTAATATCATTACGATAATCTGTGTATATTGTGATATCTCACTCTCTCTTTCTCTCTCTCCAGCGCCATTTCCAGCAGTCTAGCCCAAGGTTTTAGACTCACTTTGCATATATATATATATATATATGTATATATATACACTGTATTTTACAGTATCTACACCCGATAATGAACAACCCCATACATTCCTAAATCACCATAAATTGGGTGTATAGACCATCCCCAAATTGTAGATATATTAGTGGGTTTCCCACATTGTATATATATATATGTATATACAATATATATATATATACAATTATTACTTGCATACATTGACACATATTGACACTTGCCAAGTTTGGGCTTCATCTTTCCTGCTCGGCGTCACGAAAAAAAAGTCCAAGGGGCATTTCTGTTCAGCCACTGCACCTGTCTCCTGCCAAGAGGAAACGTACGTGGCCTCAATCTGAATCAATGGACTATAGTTATAGTCAAGTAATAATGGGATCATGGGATACCTCTCAAATACAGTGATATCTCTGAAAATCGGGCAATCAACGTCCGGGAAAATGGGTCAAACTATGGTCAACTAAATTACCATATACCTTCAAATCACGAACAGCCCCGTTGGCACGTTCCTTTGAAAGCGCTCTAATCACTCTAAAAGGCCGCCAGGAATCCAAATCACCACCCTTCCCAGATTCATGACGCTTCAAATCGCCCTGGAAGATTGCGTCTTCCAAAAGGCTGTAGACATCTGTAGACTGTTGCATTGGAAGTTGCCACTCTTATGTAGTAATACATAGTAATACCATCATCAGGGGGCCAAGTTTAAGCCTTAACTCTGTGCACGAGGAAACTTCTTTCCCACCTGATGCGACTCTCAGAGTTGTGCTGGGGAGGGGCCTGGGCTCAAAAAGAAGCTGAAGCCTTGAAGAATTGGGCTGGGATCATTTCTCTGCATGGTGAATTTCTTTAACCATTCATATGATATTTGATATACCGCGATATGTAGCCAACAATCATGGGGATATGGATTTAACCAAGAACTAATTTTACGACAAGGGCAAGACCTTAAGGCCCTATGGTCGGAAGGTTAGAACGATGTTCAAACATTATCCTTCGACATGCTCAAATACATGCGCAGGGCCAGTGCTTTGGTATTTCCCAGACGACGAGCCATAGACCCTAAATTCTCAACCCTAAAACCCTTTGCTCTCAAACTCTAAAGTCCCAAACCCTAGATTCTAGATCCTAAATTTCCAAATCCTGAAAACTCTGAATCGCAAACCAGAAAACACTGCGTATACGCAGGTTATTAAATCGGTCGTTTCTTCGTTTCAAGTGTTGTGCCAGGTCGACATTTCATGTCCGTTTTGAAAAACATGGGGACACCCTGTTTTTTGGCACAAAATATGGGATCTAATCACCAATATCCCTGGAGTTTCACCACCAATACCGGGCTTCTAACAAATCTCACCAAAGATGTGGATTGAAGCTAACCAATTAAATTTGACCAGGAAAGAAGAGGCTATATGAGCCAGAGACAATATTACCCATGGCTAGTGGACATGGCATCTCAATATAGCCACCTGATATGGAGATCGAACTCAGATCGAACCCCAAAAATGGGATATCTGTAGTTTTTTCTTTGAGGACATGCTGGCACTTGTTCTTTGACAAAAATCATGACTATATGGGCCAAAAACAGCCCAAAAAACAAAACATGTGCTCACATCAAAACTCGACCGGATGTTCCTCCATGTTCCTCCAGCATGATCCCACAATATCCAACTTGGATGCCCCACTCTGGAAGGCTTGCCTGATTTGCCTGGCGATTTTCAAAGGTCACCTGGGGTCTTTTTTTCCCCTAGAGTGGGCGCCAGGAACATTGGATTCATCGGATCCTGATCAGCAGAAATTTCACCACTTCACCCACACTATCCATTGGGTATATCTAATATTATCTAATCTATAGAGAAATTATACCAAAAACATATAGAACAGTAATTTACCATAATTATCATAATTTACCACTGACCATTTGATAGGAGGATTCCTTTTTTTCTCTCTTTGTTGGTGCTTTTTTTTGTGCCAAACACTGGAGGCTCCCCGGCTGGAACGAGGGATCAACACACGGCGGCGCACCAAAAGAACCAATGGGCTCAGGAGGGCGTCCCTCTCCTGCGATGGTTCTGAAGTTCTGACCATCCCCTTCCCTTTGTTGAAGAATGGGTAGTAGAAACATGATGAAACATCAACCATCAAAAACCATCAAAATATGGATGGTTTATAACTGTTTCTATTGGTTTATGACATTCATTTACCAAACATTCGTAGGTTGCCAGGCAGTTTTTTTTTGGGCCTGATCTCAGAGGTGGTTGCCTACTGGAAGCTTGAGGAGTGGTGAATGTTGGAAAATTTATGCCCTCATGGTGCTTTGCGGCACTGGACTCCCAAGCTGAACCTCGCTTAAAATCTCCGAGAGGTTAGACATCAGCCACAAGCACTTCAGAATTACCACATCTTACAACCAGTCCAAACTTCTTAAAGAAATTCAGTAAATAAGGAATTCAAGTCAGTTCGAAAGCCGGACCGGAATCATATTCCCAGCAAAAATACGGAAAGCGCCAACTACTGCTGAATTTCAATACTTAACTCTCACGTGCAATGGAAGATGATTGTCAGGAGACACAGACCTTGCCTCATCCAACAGGGAAACAATCTTTTAACATCTTTTAACTTAACTAGACTAGGCGTTCGATGTTGAATGATGTTGAAAGTCTTGGGGTGCAAGTATTAAATAATTTTAGAGATAAGTCTGGCAGTGAAACCTCGTGGTCTCAAAATCCGTTTGTTTCTTGGAAAATTATCTGCACACAAGGGATTTGCCGTTGCTAGGTCCAGCATCGCTGTCAGCATTCTGTCCTTTGGCCCGTGGCGCCCTGAGTCAGGGGTTGTGGGCAGGTTTCGAGGGAGAACCTACAGACCCCAGTGAAACATGTTTGGTCCGGCTACAAGCCTGCGAAACTCATTCGGGAAGGTCCATGAACCAAGAAAGATATGATTGGATACGATCATAGGAGCAAGAATAGTGAGACTCAGGGAATTGGGTCGAAGACATGTCCAAATCAATTTCAAATCCCCACCGTCTCAGTGCCGTCTCAGTGACTCAGAGCATTTGAAGCAGAGCGATATCACGACCACCCCGTGATGGATCCGCACTGGTGCATTGATCATGTCCACAATTCTCCATATGATAAACAGATTCAGGTCTGAATGTTGTCCCAACTCATCAATTCCCCAGCTGGGCTTCCATAGGCCTCAAGCGTGGCGCTTCAGAAACCGTCACGGAGGCCTGGAGTGGAGCTGTCATGACCCGTCAAGGGACCCCATGTGGGAGGCTCGTGAGGCTGGGATTAGTTCGCATAGGTGAGATCTCGCTCACTTGCCATGGTCGGAACGACTGGCCAGCATTTCATTGGCAAGGTTCTTCATGCAGATTCAAGTGCCCATCAAAAAAGAAAGGGAGAATGCAAATTATTTACGGGATATTGTGTGCACTTGGAGGGGCCAAGACATGCACAATGGCACTTCTGAATATCTACCAGAATCTGAAATGTCAATTTTTGATCCAAAAGCTTTTGTCTGGGTTTGATTGGAGCGTATGTGTGCACCCTCTGCTATTCAAGAATGGACATGGAAAATCCCAATTTTTTGCAGATGATTTTCCATTCAAATGCTCAATTACAGGGGACTTCCAATTGCCGTGCTTGATTAGGAGGGTAGCTCACATTTACACTGGTTGCGGGATTCCCCATTCGTGGAGTGTGATAATCCCCAATACATCTTGGTCAGTACAGTCCCTAATGTCCCCAAGAATAATCAGCCAGCCACTGCTCAAATCGATCCATAGTCTCTTTGGTGGGTATGAAAAATCCCTGCTGCGCCATGGCTGCATGGCACCTTGCGACCGGTGCCAATCGTCTCTCCTCGCTCGGCTTTCCTGCCAGTTTTTAAAGTGAATCCTCATCTTCTAGTTACTTGTCAAATAGATATCTATTGAAAAGATTTGAAGAGTATATATGGACACGTGTGCATATAGCGAGAGAGAAGAAAACAAGAAAATATATTTAGATTAACTTATACCAATTACCAATTTTTTTAACCAAGCCCAACATCAAAAAGTCAAAAAATCCCTGGCTACCTGCCCCAGACATAAGGAAACTACGGCGAAAATCAAACCAGCAACAGCACAGATTGCAACTATGGAAAAGGGCATGCGCAGGGCAATCCAAGGACTTGTGTCATTAAAGACAGAATGCCGCAACTCGTACAAAACAACATATGGAAACAAAACCAATACAGTAGCAGCGCATCACCATCACCTTGTTTGGGCATCCCCAGCCCCTTACAACCCATGCTTGTACCGATGCTATTGGTGCAAATCCTACCCATCTATACTGGCCACTATGCGCCAATGGGATATCAGCATCAAAATATGTCTTGAATAGCAGTAACAAATGTTCATCCCATATCCATTCCAATAACATCACCAAAACATATTATCAAAATCAACATCATTATAACATCTATTAATCTATATCTAATGACCACTATAATATGAAAATCAACATCATTATAACCATTATAACCATTATTATGGTTGTATCATTAATGACGCATCAATCCATCCCCACTGGAAATTTTCCAGGAAGACCTGGCAGTGCCGATGGCGTAGGCAGTGGGATCTCGAACGCTGTTGGCGTTCTCCTGGGGATTTTTCTTTTTGAAGGCTGCGGCGGGGTGCGAAAAAAACGATTTCAGGGAAATATGTGCTAAGAATTTTTAGAGTTTTTATGTTGGCAATATTTTTAGGGTTCTATGATTTGGAAGTGGTATATATGGATAAGGAACTTCGTGCCGATTTCCTGGTCATGGTTTGCACTCTCTGGAAATCAAACGTAAGCCTGTGATGGACCACCCAATCAAAATCCATAGATAGGGGGCTTTCCAATGAAACTTGAAGATTTAATGAGACTGGCTAGCCCATGCTAGCCCTATTTGGTCATCATTTTTTCGCGCAGCCGTGAACGGTTCGTCGAAACTTGGATATCAAATCATCCAAATGGATCTGTCTGAAAATGGGGCGGGGCATCCACAATGCTGATTTTTATTGATTAATATAGGGAAAAGGATTATTAACCATCAATTTTTGGAGGCCCAGCTATATAAACGTCTGATCGCCCATATGGCTAACCTTAGCCAGAGAAAACAAACGAAAAACACAACTGCTTCTGGAACATTTAGAATTTTACCCTTCCATGATTTTCCATTTGTAACACCCAACATTTATCCATTCACCTGTCGTTCATCTGTCCCTTGCGTTCTGACGAGAGTTTTCTCCTCAAAGTTCTTCAGGACATCAAAGGCCTGAGGGATGGCCAGGAGGGCCCGTGTCGTGTCATAAATCTACGGTAACACCTCAGCAGGGGCTGAAAAAATGGCTTGATGAACATTGATGCAGAACCTCTTGAACTCGATTCAACTAGGTGCCAAAAAACATAAGAACGCATCAACAAAACCTGGTCCCTCATGGTCATCAAATATTCCTGGATCTCACCACACATCGTGGTGACTGCAGTAAGGTCTTACCCACTTCCAGTTGAGGAGCTGCATCAACTGATGGGTCGATTAGCCAAACTATCGCTTTTTCACATCAATTAAGACCAAATATGTGAGACAGTCTGTGAGACCAATTAAGATCAATTAAGATCAATTCACGTCAATTGAGATCAATGAAGCATTGCAGGCTCGATTCATTCCCAACCTCGCGCCTGCTGGGTGGAAAGTGACATCAGCACAGGAAGGACCTGAGTTTTGCGCCGAGGGCCCGGTGTCAAACGCCAGGGAAATCTTCAAACTCAATGGGTGAATCATGGAAATTCATCAATGTTTTGGGGCCACTCCGTTGGATTTGTCCCAAAATCAAGTACCCAAAAATCCAATGGTATCTACCCTCTGGTGAACTAACATAGCAATGGAAAATCACAATTTTTCATGGGAAAATCCACTATAAATGGCCATTTTCAATAGCTATGTTAGTTCACCAGAGGGTATCACAATTTTCCTCCAATTTCCATGGTGGGCTCTGCAGATTCAACATGGCTGTGAAAATTGGCCCATTTGATTTATGTTTAACCGATTACCCTCTGGTAATTTAACATAGCTATTGAAAATGACCATTTATAGTGGATTGTCCCATTAAAAATGGTGATTTCCCATAGTTATGTTAGTTTACCAGAGGGTAACAAGTTGTGATTTTCCATCGCAGCCGTCGTTTTCTGCGCAGGAGGTCAAACCATCCAGCTGCTCATTGACAGCCGGCGCTTTTGCGTCCTGATCGGATGGGAAATCTGCAGGAAAAGCTTCTATTTATGCGCCCAAAAACATGTCAAATAATGTGGGCAAAACAATCATCACCATGCCAGAAGTGGTATAAACCATCCCCAGTCATGGGTGGTTTATGCTTGTTTATACCCACATGATATCGTTTCCTGCATTTTCTCAAAAATAGCAAGGAATCCTTGGATGACAGTCTTTTTTTCTCTTGGGGCCCCTATTCAAGCACGTCTTGGGAAGACAGGCTCTCTGAAAATTGTGACATCCAGGACAATTGACGTGCCCTGCTCCCAATTGAACATGCACCCTTATTCATATATATATATATATTATATATATTATATATATATACATGATGGTATACACATAAATGTGCATATAAATAGACATATATATATATAATATATACCTGGACATCCAAAAGCTGCATTTTTTTGGTCTAGACCGAAGAGGTAGTGAATGACCAAAAATCGAAAAGATGCTGGTTTTTGCCATTTGTCAATCACATTTGGAAGATTAAACATATGACGCAAAATGACGCAGAAAAGACGCGGAAAAACCAACTTTCTGACACCAGAACTGTGTCATTGAATCCATCACTCTTTGCCCAAAAGTGATTTTTAGGCCCGCGCCCGGCGACCCAAGGACTGTCCAGGTATGTATGTATGTATGTATGAATGAATGTATGTATGTATGTATGTATGTAATTGAATTGTTTTGATTTAATTTGATTTAAATTGAACTGAATGGTGTGTATGGTGTATGTATGGTGTATGTATGGTGTATGTATGGTGTATGTATGGTGCATGTAGGTATGTAAAGTAAGGTAAGGTATGGTATGGAATGGATTGGACTGCATTGGTATGGAATGGTATGTAACGTAATGTAATGCAATGTATGTTCTATGTCTATATATTTATATTTAAAATCCTAACTGGAGTCATCTAGGAGTTCGAGGTGCTTGTGCTACGTAAAGGCATCTTAAAACTGCTGGGGCGCGTCATGGTAAATTGGGATCATCAATGAGCCCAGACCGCGTCCTCTTCAGCCAGTGCGGTTTCCCTTGGGGGAGCCGCCATTTTCTTGGTTCCTGCGGGCCCGGGGCTGTCACAAAACGAAGGTGATGATCGTTGATGGTTGTGAAGAAAATCCTTCAGGGTTGGGTACAACATGGTACAACCAAATTCAACTCTACTGAACTCGAAGGCTGAATGCAGGGATTGCAAGGCCCCACAATTAGTAAAATGCCGGAGAGAGTAAACTGCGTAGGTCCCAAAGTCATCCAAAGTCCTCAAGCCCTAAACGAAAACATGAAACTAACATTTGAAAGGGCTGAGAACAAAAAGGCTCTTATTTAAGCTTCTCCAAAGGTGAAACGCAGTCAACACGTAAATTCGAAACAAGTTTGTTGCTGGCATCGAAGGTAGGGATGTGTTGGAGCAAACTGCGGCAACATGTAATGCATATATTATATAATATATTTAAAGAAATGATCTAAAATCTAAAATGATTTGGAACATATGGCAGTTCCAAGATGTTACACCCACAACAAAAAGTCATTCCGCCGCAGCTGGCCTTTCTTGGGCTTCCGTCCCAGGATTTGGGTGCCCAGCATTGGCAGCGTGAAACCTCCGCTGGGTGCTGGCCTAATTCATGACCATTTGAGCGACTGACCCGTAGAACTATTATATACATTAATAATTATTAATATATTTACATATATTTACTGTATGTATCATACCTATCTGTATAACTCAATAGCACTTAGTTCTGGCAAAACAACGACACAAGGACGAAGACATTGAACCATGGAAACGGCCTAAAGGTAGCTCTTCCATCCAAGTACTGGACATCGAGTTTGGCGCCTGCAAGATGTCTTGACGATGTGGTGCACCCCTTGTGCAATCAGAAACTATAATGCAACTAGTTGAGCAATGTTGATCATTTCTGTGAGGTTCTCTTCTCCTGATATTATTCTGGGGAATAAAGAAACAGGTGGAACATGTTGTGAATGAGCGAATGCCATCTGCGGATTGCGGCCATAACTTTCAGGAAAATTGATGCGGAAGTTCAAAAAACCGTCTTTAAACCTGTATAAGTTGCATCAATTGATGTGCCGTCATCCCTGTAATTCATGGAACACTTCAAGAATGGCCATATATGGCCATCAGTTTCAGGACCCGCATTGTTGGTGTTCCAAGCTGCCGCACAGGAACTTTGAATAGCTTGCACGCAGTTTTCCATCCATTTGCTACCCCAGTTTTGCGAAGCCTGCCTCCTCAGAATCGTAAAGGAGATCCCATTTGGTATCCTCTGGGCTACCTCAGCTGCACACAAAAAACACAACAACTTCAAATCCCCCCACGGCATTTCACATTTTTTGCCAAAACGCTCAAAGGAGGATTTCTGTGAAAATTTGAGCAAATCTCAGCGACCTCCTTGAAATTCCATCATCGGAGCAACATAAAAAAAACGCCTCTGGTTGGATCCATTGAGTTATTTTTTCTTTAAAAAAAACAAGGGGGTATGCCACGAATGTCTCCTGACGACCACATCGTGTTCTTGTCGAGCATTTGCCCTACCGCATCATCATAAGTAAAAATTGTATTATTGTTGTATGTTTGCTACTAATTATTGATATTCTTATAATATATATATATGTAAATCTAGGTTGTGACATGTATGTATACATACACACTCACACCTATACATACACATAATTACACCGTGTATATTGTCGCCGTTTGCATTGCAGCAAAAAAAAAACTGAGAAACCTCTATATAAGGTTTTGCAGCTGATAGGGGGTCTTTGGAAATGGATTCTAGGGTCCTTGGTGATTTAGTTCTACCTCTGATTGTGTGATATATGTTTTCCATTATTTATTTCTTTGTCTATCTTATCTATCAAGGTAGGTGGCCTTGGTATATACTAGTGAAAATGATCCCAAACGAAAGATCGTCTTGGGCTAGTGTCCCTTGGATGTTTCAATATATTGTTAATTCTTATCCGCCATTCGGTAATCATGCCAAGATGGGGATTGATAATTAGTGTCTCCATCCATTTACCCTTCTATTCGTGGAAGTGCCAGTCAGAACAAACGATCACCATTCGATCGTAGTTCAAATAGTTTTTTTTTGGGTTGGGTACTTTGATAAAATATAAATATATTTTATATATATATATATATATCAATATATGCAGCAGATAGGGGGTCTTTGGAATTTGATTCTAGGGTCCTTGGTGATTTAGTTCTACCTCTGATTGTGTGATATATGTTTTCCATTATTTATTTCTTTATCTATCTTATCTATCAAGGTAGGTGGCCTTGGTAAATACTAGTGAAAATGATCCCAAAGGAAAGATCGTCTTGGGTTAGTGTCCCTTGGATGTTTCAATATTATTAATTCTTATCCTTCTTTCGGTAGTCATGCCAAGATGGGGGTTGATAATTAGTCTCTCCATCCATTTACCCTTCTATTTGTGGAAGTGCCAGTCAGAACAAACGATCACCATTCGATCGTAGTTCAAATAGTTTTTTATGGGGGGTTGGGTACTTCGATAAAATATAGAATATATTATATCTATGTTGTGCAATTGATCTGGGTTCTCTGGAAATGGATTCTTGGGTCTTTCCAACTATTTAATATATGATAGTGGAATTGAATTGTATTATAGGTACTTTATTATTTTCCCTATGAGGTAACCAATTGGTTGATTAAATGGGTATCATCTTACCATTGGTTATTTAATATAACTATTTGTTTTTTACCATACTCATAGAAAAATTTATGTGCATTATTATGTTCATTCTTAGGCAACCACTTGGTTGGCTAAATTGATATCATCCCAGTAACGGTTACGGTTATTTTATTTTATTATATTCCTTGGATTAACTGGGGTCCACTACCATTTCTGAAGGGTACCAACCAATTGCTGGATCAAAATGGAAAAGGTATCAACCACGCTCTTGTTTTTTCTAGGGTGGTGCCCCCATATACCTTTGGTATAAAGCCACCAATGTTAATGTTATCCCTGATTATCATTATTTTTTTTCAAGTACTAAATTTCCCCCATTATTTCTACATCTACATCATATATCCTTTAAATGCAATGTCCAACAGCTAATTTGCCGAAGTGAGGGCGCAGAAATCAGCACCCTGAGTTAGGAAAAAAATAAAAATTGACGATATCCTAGGTGTTTGGTGGGGTATTGCCTAAGTAAGGTCGCAAAAATCTGCACCTAGACTTGGGCAATACAGAGGTTGTACCCTGGGATTTAGGATTTTTTTTTTTTTTTGCCGATCTCAGGGTGCAGAAATTGGCATGTGGACTTGGGAAACAGCCCTACTATTATATTCTACCATGATTTTTGCCGCAGAGGATTCGGGGTCCTTGATTTTGAGATTTAGGAAAAAAAAAATTGCCGATCTTTTGGCTTGGGGGACCCCGTATCCGTCGCATCCGCATATCCGTCGCATAACAATATTTTATTTTATATTTTATCGAAGTACCAACCCCAAAAAAAAACCTATCTGAACTACGATCGAATGGTGATCGTTTGTCCTGACTGGCACTTCCATAAATAGAAGGGTAAATGGATGGAGAGACTAATTATCAACCCCCATCTTGGCATGACTACCGAAAGAAGGATAAGAATTAATAATATTGAAACATCCAAGGGACACTAACCCAAGACGATCTTTCCTTTGGGATCATTTTCACTAGTATATACCAAGGCCACCTACCTTGATAGATAAGATAGATAAAGAAATAAATAATGGAAAACATATATCACACAATCAGAGGTAGAACTAAATCACCAAGGACCCTAGAATCAAATTCCAAAGACCCCCTATCTGCTGCATATATTATATATTAATATATATATATAAAATATTTAATATTTTATCAAAGTACCCAACCAAAAAAAACTATTTGAACTACGATCGAATGGTGATCGTTTGTTCTGACTGGCACTTCCACGAATAGAAGGGTAAATGGATGGAGACACTAATTCTCAATCCCCATCTTGGCATGATTGCCGAATGGCGGATAAGAATAACAATATATTGAAACATCCAAGGGACACTAGCCCAAGACGATCTTTCCTTTGGGATCATTTTCACTAGTATATACCAAGGCCACCTACCTTGATAGATAAAATAGATAAAGAAATAAATAATGGAAAACATATATCACACAATCAGAGGTAGAACTAAATCACCAAGGACCCTAGAATCAAATTCCAAAAACCCCCTATCGGCTGCATATATTGATATATAATATATATTTATATTTTATCAAAGTACCCAACCCAAAAAAACCTATTTGAACTACGATCGAATGGTGATCGTTTGTTCTGACTGGCACTTCCACGAATAGAAGGGTAAATGGATGGAGACACTAATTCTCAACCCCCATCTTGGCATGATTGCCGAATGGCGGATAAGAAGTAACAACATATTGAAACATCCAAGGGACACTAGCCCAAGACGATCTTTCCTTTGGGATCATTTTCACTAGTATATACCAAGGCCACCTACCTTGATAGATAAGATAGATAAAGAAATAAATAATGGAAAACATATCTCACACAATCAGAGGTAGAACTAAATCACCAAGGACCCTAGAATCAAATTCCAAAGACCCCCTATCGGCTGCATATATTGATATATATATATAATAAATATATTTAATATTTTATCAAAGTACCCAACCAAAAAAAAACATATTTGAACTACGATCGAATGGTGATCGTTTGTTCTGACTGGCACTTCCACGAATAGAAGGGTAAATGGATGGAGACACTAATTCTCAACCCCCATCTTGGCATGATTGCCGAATGGCGGATAAGAAGTAACAATATATTGAAACATCCAAGGGACACTAGCCCAAGACGATCTTTCCTTTGGGATCATTTTCATTAGTATATACCAAGGCCACCTACCTTGATAGATAAGATAGATAAAGAATAAATAATGGAAAACATATATCACACAATCAGAGGTAGAACTACATCACCAAGGACCCTAGAATCCATTTCCAAAGACCCCCTATCAGCTGCAAAACCTTATATATACATTAATTGTACATAATTATCACCCTCTGGTAAACTAACATAACTATGGAAAATCGTCATTTTTAATCGGAAAATCAATTATAAATGGGCCATTTTCCATAGCTTTTTGTATGTTTACCAGAGGGTAATGTATTCCATTGACCCACCACCAAGATCACCAAGGATGATGTGGCCCACCGTCCTCCCCCGTGTGAACACGGCGTCCAAATTGCATTCTTCACCGTCTACGAAGGAGTCCACGGTCAAACGAAGTGCTTGGTCCAACCTCAGAATGCCCACGAAAAACCATCTCTTTATGGATGTAAAGCCGCATTACACTAACCCAAAAAAACAAACATACACACACAATACTTGCAGGGTTGAACATTTATAATTCATAGATTATTTAAATTATAAATTCATAAAAATTCTATAAATCCCACCAATCTTATGTGAACAGAAGCCTAAAGGTTTGGCTCATAGATTGCAAGATTCAGTGAGCACCTCTTAAAAGTGGAAGGGATGCCCATAGACATCATAATTCCATGAGAAACCATCCGGATACATTATGATGTAACATGATGCAATGATATATGATGTATATATATATTATTTGTATATCAAAAAGAGTGGTTGCAAGGGCGGCTGAGATGCTAAGCCTTTGCGTTTGCGTTTCGGCAACCCCCACTGCATTAGAGGGACGCAGAAGAGATTGACCAAGCATTTGCCAAGTTGCATGCTTGGAATCAAATGTGCCAGGTAGGCGCTGCACAAGTCCAGGCATGGATTGGCATTGCACTCAATGAGCCACACTCGGAAGTCAGAGTCCACCTCAGTACGTGAAGGTATCGTGAAGGTCTGCCCAGCACTAGTTCAAGTCGCCAAATCCCTTGATACGAATACGAAAACTGATGGGCTGGCAAGACACTACTGTACCCAACTAAAAAAAAAGTACTGCGTGGAACACTCATACCGATACCTGTTACATGTTTGTGCCAGTCCCCAACATACAGCATTGCACGATATTGCACGATGCCGCGCAGCTGAAGTACTACCCTCTGGTAATCAAACATGGCAATGGAAAAGCCATGCAAATCCCTCATTTACAGATGATTTTCCCAGCAATTCAAACCCCGTTTATATACAAGTAGGGTTGTGAATTGCCATGTTTGACTACCATCAAAGGAACTATATATATATATATAAATATTTATATATAAATATATATATATATAAATATTTATATATATAAATATATATACATATATATATATATATATGTGGTACACATCCAAAAAAAACGCATGGCAGGGTTTGCCCCTGAGATTCACATCAGGAGATCAGATTTGCCCCTGAGCTTCGGGGACCCGACCCAATGCTTGGGATAATTCACGATGATTCATAGTATAATCCCATCATATCTCGTCCCCCTAATCTTAAAACATCCATTGTATGTTCCCAAAAAACATATCCAAATATGTATATATATATAATTATATATATATAATATGTATATGGTTGCATTACCCCCCTAGACTTAACCGTGGTTTCTCCGGAGTGTTTAAGATGAACGGGACAAGGGATTAGAATTGCCCCCCATGTCGTGCATTGTCGTCGTCCCATCGCCGACCAACATCTCACGTGCCTAGTGTGTGTCTACGAGGTGCCATGAAATCAAAACCGAAGACCTGCACAACGTGCTGCCCTATGACCAAGTCAGGCTTCATGGATCTTGATGGTAGATGATGGTAGATGTTTATGTTAGACATATCTATAGTTCATGGGGGTATGGTAGATATAAACCAACATGAAGTATATATATCTTCTGTTGGTTCATGGGGGTATGGTAGATATATCGTACAATTCGCTGGAGTTATAAACCAACAGAAGTCACAACGGGGGAGACCGCACCACTCCTGGGATGGACCCTCGGCTTACGACGAAGCATACTCCAAATCTATGCAAAAATCTTTCGGCCCCAGAACTACCGCTACGTGGTTACAACATGTTACAACAATGGTTTTATAATATAAAAAGAAATTGTTGGATACAGAAAAATCAAACCGGGCACTGGAAAATCATGGAACATCATCCAGTTCTACCAACTCATAGATCATTTTCCCATGGAGAAACATATTTCTCTAATCTTTTAATGCAAATGTTCAATGATTTCCCCTTACAAAATATAGGGTAGATTTTTTTTAACATAGCCAATCCGTGCTAGTAGCCCGACACTGAGGCCTCGAAGCAGTGTTTGATCTTTCGAGGATTCAGCTTGCTGGCCGCGGAACGAATGGCCTCGGTTCAATGGAGGAGTTGGATCCAAAGAAGCCGGATTAAACCCAACCGAAGCCATATTCAAAGCCATGGTGTGTCATCTATATTGCCCAAAATATCCGTGCGCGGGGTTTACAGGACGGCATTTTTAACCTTTCAAAGCTGAAATGTGCCTGTCATCGAAAAGGGCCTTTTGATGCCTTTTGAAAGGCATAAAAGGCATACAAAAATCTTTGAAATCATCATTTTCTTCTTTAGAAACAAATCGTGTTTTACCACAGTTTTTGACCCTTTGTCGGTCAACATGATTTTTACCCTCACAGTTTCACGTGCTTTTGCAAAAGATGTAACAACTTAGCATCAAGTGCGTTTTGGAAGTTGCTTGAGAAAGATGTTACAACGTTGCATCTAAGCGGAAGTTCCTTGAGAACGATGTTACAACGTAGCCTCAAGAGCATCTTGGAAGTTACTTGAGAACGATGTTACAACGTAGCCTCAAGAGCATCTTGCCAGTTACTTGAGAACGATGTTACAACACAGCATCAGGAGCATCTTGGAAGTTACTTGAGAAGGATGTTGCAACGTAGCATCAAGAGCATTGTGGAATATCTTGGAAGTTGCTTGTCAAAGATCTTATGACAACATGTTACAACGCAGCATCAAGAGAAGAGCGTCTTGGAAGTTGCTTGAGAAAGATGTTGCAGCATAGCACCAAGAGCATCTTGGAAGTTGCTTGAGAAAGATGTCACAAAGTAGCATCAAGAGCGTCTTGGAATTTACCCGAAAGATATTGCAATGTAGCATCAAGAGTCTTGGAATTTGCTTGAGAAAGAGACTTGATATGACTTGATCATCTTGATCTGAAAGATATCATCTTGCATCATCTCACATCCATGCACATCCCAATTCTGTCTTACGCATTCTTCCGCAATGTTTGGAGATTTTCGGGGCCCCAAAGATATGCTGGTTGGTGGTTGACCTACCCCTCTGAAAAATATGAGTTCGTCAGTTGGGCTTATTATTCCCAATAGATGGAAAGTCATAAAAGCCATGTTCCAAACCACCAACCAGAGTAAAATGGAATATCTAAAACCAGTTATATATTGGAATGGCATGTAATCCCACTAATATTTGTTTTTCATGGAATATCCCACTATTAAACCACTATAATGGAATATTCCAATGATCCCTTGATCCCTCGGCTTTTTGCTGCCTAGGGACATCGCCCATGAGGCTGTGGCACTTTGGCATCAAGTCGTCTCTCACGCTGATCTTGCGCACCTGGCCGGCCAAGATAAGGCCAAGCAATGCGGAAGGGAACGGCTGAATCCGATGTTATCACCATTCCTTTTTTATCTGGTATATAATCATAACCACAATATATATATATATATAGTAGCGTTATTATTATTAGTATTCTTCCTCTTCTTCTTCTTATTATTATTATTGTTATTATATATAAATTGTTATATACACATTATATTTTATTATTATATATTATATATTATATATTATATATATACGCAATATATATTCGATGAATTTAATATGATATAAATAAATAAACATACAGTTCCCATATGTTCCCATTCACAACAACAAACAATGAAGAAGCGACCTACCAAGGGCGATCCTAGCAACCTAGATGAACACACCCTGCTGCCTTGGCTTTAGAAAAATACATGGGGGGTCCACGGGGGTCCTAAGTCATGGGGGATCCTCAAGTCACCATCCTTGTTTCAATACTAAGATCTACTAAGTTTTTTAAATATGGTCTAATGACTGGATGATTTGGGGGTACTGCACCCCCTTTTCAGGAATCCTCCACATGACAAAAATGATTCCAACATGGTGGAACATGTTGCGCTGGAAAGCCACATGCCTGAAACCAAAATGGCTATTTCAAACATCGAAGCGACCGAAGCTGGCGCCTGGTGATGTTCGTCCAAGAATTTTTGGAACTCTTCTAAAGAGAGCTTGTTGCCAGACTCAAACTTCCCATACCTCAACTCCAAAAGCTGCAATGCGAACATGCCAACACGGCTGGTTGTTGCTTTAAACTACCCTGAACAACATCTCAGTCAATTGGGGGGAATCAGGCCAAAATCAGGCCAAATATCGTTGATACATCAAAATAACCAAAACACCAAGCAGCAACTAGTAGTCTCCACCAGCATTCATACCAAGCAACACCCCATGGCTACGGCCCATATCCAAGGGCATTCAAGCAACAAGGGGGAGCGATGAAGGCAGCACGGGAATTGATCATACCAAGCTGACAGTTTCTGCCTATTTTCAGATACTACCTCATCTACCTTATCTACCCCAATTTCTGAAGAAGAAATGTGACCAGTCAGACCAGTCGCTGCTACTCCATCTTCACCAATGTTGCTTGAGAACACCAGCATCATCAGCATGCAGAGCAAACAAATAGAAAAACCCAGAAAACATCCACATCCCCGGAGCGCCATCGGCACCATCGGCGCCATGGCTGATCTTAGGGACTCCTCTCCCTGCTTCTGGACCGCGTCATTGTTGAGGTGAACCATCCTGCGGAACACAATCTGAAGGATATGTGAATCAAAAAACACGTGAAGGAAAAACACGTAAAACCATGTAAAACCATGTAAAACATAGTAAAACCACAAGGAACCACATGACTAGTCACAGCGTGCATGAGTCTTTATGTTCATACTGCATCTGATTATGTTGCGGGCGAAATGAGGATAATTACGTTCCCATTGCAATGCCCGAGGAGTGTTTGGAAGCGACCACACATTGACATTTCAAAGGATCATCACATATTGGCATCTTACACCCATACGCCCAAGTTCTTGCAATGTCTGCGTTTGACAGCTATTCCCAATCAAAACGCTCGCCACGACCCCTGTCCCGGCACAGACCTTGCAAAACCCCTTTCCCCATTGGAAACGCTAGCTTTAACAAGCCTTGACCAAACTATCATGGTTCTATTATGTTCTATTCGTTTTTGATCGAATCCCATCGGAACGCCGGTTTCCAACGGGCCTTTTTTCGTGGGCACTGTTGACGCCACAAACAAAAACGCGAAGCAGGCCCTTTTCCTAGTTTGTATACTGCAGGATGGGTTCTGATAAAGGAAAAAAACGAGGTCCAAAACGAGGTCAAAACGAGGTACGGAAAAAGCCCCGCATCTACACACATGGACTTTGGCCCGCAAGCCGCAAACCTGCCCTTCCTTGGATCACTGGTAGCGAAACAATGACAATTTGCAGAATCCCAGCACACCGCCATGGCAGTGTAGAGATGATAATCCCAGCGTTGTGTAGAAGTACCCGGAAACAGCAACAGCAGCAGCCGTCGAACCAGCAGCCGCAGCAACAGCAAGACGCCAGTAGCTGCAGAACCCAACAGCAACCATCCCAAACACAATGAGAACGCAACTAGCAAGATTAAAGCACTATGCTAATAGTAAAACAACCCCCTACCCCAAACACAACCTAAACGCCGCTTCGCCACTTTAGGTCTACATGAGATAGTAAAACAGCAACCTACCCTAAACACAAGCTAAACGCCGCATCGCCACGACTTCCACAAAAGCCTTCCCCCAAGCTAATTTCAAGATTTTTGGGATTTCGCCACGACTTGGGCAGTTGGGAGTACCTCCAAAATCCACCCAAATGCCATCATCTTGGAAGATTATATATATATAATCTTTCATCTGCTTCTTGGACACAGTGTGGACCATGGCTCCTGTCCAAGCTCTTCGTCGTATACCTGAACAAGGCGCTTTATGATGTGAAAAATGCAATCCCCAAGTGCCAGGAATGGGGGATGGAAACTATGGAGAAACTAATGGAACACACACACACATATATATGATTATAAATGGGCCATGATGATTGACCTCTGGGGTTTTTATCCAACAGCCACATGGAAAACTCACTTCAAGTACCAACGGAGATACCACACAACATTCCCCACATTCTTCATGATCTCCCCGTATTAGATCCTGTTGGAAAAAAAAACCCTTGGTGGTACACTAAATGTTCCATCAAACTGGCCCCTTTAAGAATAATCACCCTTCCATTCACCAAGGTGTTCCCCCATTTACTGGTCAAATTATTTACTCTTTTTGTGAGATGTCAATCTTTTTCCACCAAAGAAAAGTCAACAAGTGAGAAGTGATCGAAACTCACGGGCTTCCCAGGGCTTCCCACACGTCATGATGGACCTGTGTGGCCTAAAGCAACTAAGTTTTTCCAACATGGATCTGGGCACATGACAGTACCCAAAAAAGGATAGAACACTTCTAGAACATGATAGAACCGTGATTTACTATGATTTACTACCATGTTACCCATTTTTGGATTCTTCGAATTCCATGGATTTTCTATGCTTTTCCCATGGTTTTCCTCTCCGAAATCCACCTACCTCCAAATGGGGATCCCGCTGGGCGTTCCCACGAGGAGCTGCAGGTTCTGAGATAGGCATCGCGATAGCCCAGGGCGCGCAAACCCTGTCCCTGCTGCGTGGCAATCACCAGGCAATACCTCAGCTACACCAGAGGTGAATATGAAATCCCATTATATAAATCCCATTAAATCCCATTAAATCCCATTAAATCCCATATAATCCCATATAAAATCCCATATAAATCCCACGAAATCACTATGAAATCACCATGAAATCACCATGGGCACGGCCAGCTATGGTGGATGACATGCAGCTCGTTTCTTGCACTGGATCTCCGGGAGATGATCGAAAAGGGTTAAGCCATCAATGGAAAAGAACAGCACATATAATGCATATAATAATTTACACACACATGTACATATATATATATATATTCATATATATATATACATTCATTTTTTATGTATATATATATAAGTATATAATTATATATACATACAATTATATATATAACTATATACACCTACAGTATCATACATGTGATCAACGCTTCTGGGTCCGTCTCACTGCGACAAGCAATCAAGTCTTAAGTGACTCAGCATGCGGAAAAACAAAACATCCGGCACTAGATCCAGGTACTGGGATGGTCATCGAAAACGAGGGAATGCATGATCACTGTTGTGTACACATCTGCCATAACTCCATAACCATCAACCCATAATGGTGATGACTTGAGGACCCTGGGGATGGTGCGACTCACCTTGGGTTTACCATGGTTTACCTATATCAACGAGAATGAAAACAGGGGAGTGCCAACATGGCACAACTGCCCTCACGTGGATGTGAATCGTTTTCCTCTCGCTCGTCCTCCACGAGGAGTATGTCCGAAATGTGCCGGTGAAACAAGGACAGGAGTATCTTATCTTCAACACTAACGACGAGACGCTTCGGCTCGCCCAAGGCTGGGTCTTGGTGTCGGTGTTTCATTCTGCGAATTGAGATCACGGCGATATTCACAGCGTGCGAAACAACAGCCCTGGCTAAACAAACGCTCCTAATGCAACCACAACATGCGCCGACATGCCAATACTTGTCATGTTAAATGCTCTGATTTCCGTTTGCCATGTGTTGGATTCAGGATTTATATAGGATATTTAGGCCACATCTCATCATATTTTTCCTATGTTCATCATTCAAAACATCACCAACAGTGAGATTCCGAGTATTGTGGTGGAAACACCTCACAAATTAAGGTCTCTGCTTCCCCCAGAAGGATCCATGCAGGATCCCCCTGCTGGGGTGACCCTCGCACGCTTTGGGTGCGAAAGTTTCGGCCCTGGGTCAACCCTGATCGCAGGGTATGGGTCAACAAGAATCTGGATACATCTGGATACTAAAGAAAGTTCCCCAGCTTGAAATACAACCATTTTCCAATTTTGTTGATGCCTTCAGCCCCTCAATTGTGACCCATACCCAACAACAATAAAACAACTTTACCAGAATAACTGTGCTTTGAACCCCAAGCTATTATGGGGGCGCAGTAAGTAGACTGCATACGCGGGGGCTCCGGATGACCCAGACCCAAATGCCAATAGTTGATAGCATTCTTCCGCACATCTCCTGTCACCATGAGACGGGGCCAACAAATTTGTTCCAAGAGAAACTGGTCTCAGGACACGTGTTGATACATTTTGGCTGGTTGCCCGTTACCTACTTTCATTTGTGGGGAAAATCATTGAGGTCTTACAGTAAATCTGCCCAGATTGTTGGTGAAACCCTGCTATTGGTGACAAAATGTGGCAAATATCACCATGTGTGGTGATTGTATCCGCATGTTTGCTGATCACATCCCAATCTATTCTGCATAAACACAAATACGTGTCTGTATATATATATATATGCATACATATGTAGTATCCCCCCCACACCCCCCCATGCTGGTGGCCTGGCCATATACCACCATCCATGTGCTATACTTACATGCTGGCCTCATGCCACCTTTACACTACCCGCATGATACCTCCATGCAGGGTTCACGGTTCACTGCCTATATGCCCATACAGCACATACAATTTGTTTACAACATTTTACAACCTATTACTGCCCATACAGTATCTTTTAGCAGCCATGCGGCCATGTACTAACTAGTGTCAAGATATCAGAGTCAAATTCTATAAATGCGTGCTAGCAATGTACTACTACGTACACAATCTACATGGTAGCTCGATGACCCCCCACCCATCCCACAGGGGCGTGGAGCATGCTAGCCACATTACTACATAGTTTTTGCCTTACATGCTAGTGACCCATCCCACAGGAGGGGCTGGGTGTGTAAACTATATCCTACATAGAGCCTCCTACATACAGCCTACATACAGAACCATGACCATGACGTGGGGGGGTAGGGGGCGGGTTGCTGGACTGGGCCATATATATATATATATACATAACTATCAGTATATTTATATATGTAGGCGATCTCAAAGTAATGAGACCGGTACACATAATATCACATAATAGTGATAAACAACGCGGTTAACAGTCAATAAAAATGATTCACAAATCAAGAATATACAATATCCTCCATCCTCATTTTTCACCTGCGCTTAGAGACTGTCGTATCCCAGGTGCAGTCCTTTCTTCGCTCACCAGTTGGTGAAAGGATCTTGCGAGGCATTTACCTCACCCGTTGGACCCTGAAGTCAGCTAGGTCGATACCAATGGATTGGTTTAATAGAAAGGCCTACAGGAAACCCCCCTATGTGGGCAATTCAATCATGAACCTACCATTTGGGGATGGTGTTTAATTACCACCAATAAAAATGGTGATTTGGGGGATTGTTTATTGTTCGGTTTGCCACAATATATTTATATAACGCGAAAAACATGGTTCCGGTCACGATTTTCCAAAATCCAACGCATTGAAGATCGATTTGTTCATGTCAACGTGAGTTAATATATAAATAGTGGTTTGCAAGACCTGGGTCAGATTGAACATTTTCTTATGAATTCCGCTAAGAAGTCAGTATATGAAACTCGAATATCGAAGGTATGTCAACAAGTTGTGGAACCCGAACCAGGCGATGATGAGTTCAAACATTCCAGCGGGGTTAGGCTTTTTCCCAGGCAATGTTCAGAAAATTGCCTGAATTGCATTGAAAATTCGTGAGTTCAGCATGTTTCAAGCCCCATGCATTTTGACCTAAATCTTGGACCAGCCTGTTGAGCATGACATCAGCATAACCAAATACGATCACAGGTGTGACTTTTCGGACTATAGCAACCCCCACTGGGGAAGAACACAATATGCGTGTGACATATGAAATCATATGAACAAAAATAAAAATGCGCAATATGATCTGATACCCTCTGGTAAACTGAAATAACTATTGAAAGTCGATTTGCCCATCAAAAATGGTGATTTTCCATAGTTATGTTAGTTTACCAGAGGAAACACATCCTTATTTGGTTACCGCAGTGGGACGATCTATGGGAAGTTCCTTCCCTTCCCAGCCCTGGACAAGTCGCAGCAGGAGGTTCCTGATCTGAGTCTGGATAGTCATCGAAGTTACCTCAGCCCAAATGCAGAGGAGTCCCAGGGTGAATCCGCCGGAAGTGTGTAGATGTTGTTGTTTTTAAACCATATTTTAAATATATATATATAGAAACTGATATATATATATATATAAATGTATAACTGATATACATACATATATATATGATAAATGCAAATAGAATATATATATATATAATATGTGTATGTATATGTATATGTATAATTGATAAAGATATCATTGATATATAAATACATACATGTATACATACAATGATATATATCTATATATAAACTAAGATATATATATATATAAATAAACACATAAAGTGATATATATATATATATATGTATTTATAAATGCATACATACATAGTCGTAAAACCACTACACAAGTCATCCCCACTTTTGCCAGCTTATGGGTTGTATAAACCACCCCAACTGGAGGTATATTAATGTTACAATAGTAAAAACATGTAAAAACTATCTTCAATTTTACCATACAAGGGTGCGATAAACCATCACAAAGTTGTGTTTTTTCTTTTTTAATTGTTTTACTAACATTATTGTGTTTACCACACTAGGATTAGGTTTCACACGATAGACACCTGATATAAAACGATTTAACCTGATATAGATAGTATAATTAACCAACATTGCGGCTATGTTTCAATTAAAACAGCTACCCAACAGTGCTGTTCTCACAAGGAGGTTTTGCTTTTTCTATCTTGTCTAGAATCATAAGCCAGTAAACTTCAAAAAAATAGTGCCCCCTGGCAAGTTAACATAGCTATACAAAATGGTTCATGTATAATTATATAGATGATTTACTTGTTAGACCTTCAGACATACAGTATTCAAAAACGGTGACTTTAGCTATGTTAAATCCGCCGACCCCTGCCTAGCCTTGGCCTATGGCGGCACAAGGGCGTTAGCCCATTGATAACCAGACTGTTAGCGCCGAGCGGGGTCTCAAGCCTAGTTTCCTCTCATTCTCTCTACGAAAGAAATGCCATAGCTTGGGGTTCAATCGCCCATTACGATCCATTACCAATTTGAACAAACCAGAACATCCCAGCATCAAACACATGCAATATATATCAAACATATACATAAATATAAACATAGTGACATAGTATATATATATATATTAATAAAATTAAATATATCCATATATGGATAAGCATATAGATATATAGATACAACTCCGACTCAAAGACACTGTTTCTCAATATTGAAACATCTTAGAACATCCGCCGCGCGCAGCGCCAAGGGACTGGTATCAGTAGCACCCTTCACGGCTGGTTTGAATGGTGCCTCAATCTTCTTGGCCACAAGATCCTCCCAGCCTTAACGCGGACGCGTGTTTTTTTTGGTTGGTTTCTAATTGGTACTATGGGCTGTATTCTGTCTTAACATGTCTTAACTGGTGTATCGTTTACCCCAAGCGCATTCAATTGTCAATTGGCAAGTATCATTAAGATGTAAACATTCTAGATGGTTCGATTGTCAGTTCATGATAGTTCACGTGGAAAAGGTTCACAAAAGCCACACAGATCGTAGCAAAAAACTCTCCATGACATAAAGATCATAAAAGTACGAACCGCACCAACAAACAATGGGAATTTTGTGGGGATATTCCCTTACATTAAGGCCTTGAATATAGGCCTTATATATGGAATCGGTAGCTCCAATAAATCGCTTCCACTGATGTCGGATTGTAGATCAGAACGACACCTGAGTAGAGTCGCCCTAATCAGAAATCCTACATAGGACCTTTTAAAAACACCAAAACACGTGTTTTCCCATCACATTCTAGAGGGGTTCAAAGTCTTTGAACATAGGGGGTCTCTGGATGGACCCTGGACCCAGTCATCTCCATTGGCTCTCCAGCTCTGTGAGCCTCAAAATTGTCATCAGTTCATGTCAGTTCCATAAAATCCACAAACCCACACAGTTGATATTGACAATTTATGACACTTTATGACAATATTTTCAGTTCCATCAATGGTGATTAGTGATCGATATTGCCAAATACTCATCGCCCACATTTATCGGTGTCTTGTTTCGGAATACTCAGTGTCCCTAGCCGCCGTCGTCCCGTGGCCCGTGGTGGTTTCACCAAGGAACTGAGATCCTTGAACCACTTGTGCTCCTTGATGTCTGCAGCACCATTCCTTGGAGTAAAATACGACAGTTGTGTTGAACAAACTGTAGAACCAATGGCCGATAATGGCATCATGGCCCATTAAAAAAAAAAACATCGCTGTGAGTCATGCGCACCACCCAGAGTACAGCAATTGCTGAGTTGCCGTCAATAGGACTGTGTCCCTAGTGGCATTTAACGATATTTAACGCATCCCCAAGGCCCTAAGATCTTTGCAAAGATGATCAAGATCCTCTCCAAACCCTAATCCGGGATGGTAAAAATTCCACCAACTATTACCTTCCCCAGAGCATATTATCAAGACCCCTACCTGAAAGTCTCATGCCTCAGCTGAGGGGCTTCAAATTGCCAAAACGCTTGCCCAAATCCGGGGTAAGCAACTTCTTCACCAAGCTCTTGGCCTGATGAAGGTCATGGGGTAAGGCCAAAAATGAACGAAAGTGGCTGCGATTCTTGGCTTGCAATCTTCCAGGGCATCTTCCAGCCGAACTAATCACTGGAACATCCAGGTGGATCACCTCAACCGCAACAGAAAATCCATCTATCTTAGGCTGGGAAGTGCGGCCCTGTCTTGGTCCATGCTAGGCAAAATTTGGGATTAAAATCTTCAGCTTCTATTCGTTTCAGGTGTTTAGATAGAGTGATGTACGGTATATACTGTCTCTCCATCGCGATATATTTAGATAATGAGATGATATAATAATATATAATATATTCTAATATTATTATTAATAATAAGACAATATACGATTCCCAGTATGGGTCAAAAGTAATCCACAAATAGAAGGTTACCCCTCTGTTCTCCACCTAGCCACCACGAGGAAAAATGCCAGCCTCCTTGTGAAAGATCTTCGGAAACGTGATTTTACCTGCCAAGATCTTCTGGTAGATGCCCATGGGGTCCTGCAAACGACAACGATGGGGATGGATCAAGTCATGTGGGGCACCCATGGGCAGCCCGAACAATGTGATACCGATAATGCTCAAGGCTGGAACTTGGACAAAAGTTGCAGTTGCCTTGATGTTCAAACTGTTTTTTCCCATGCAGCATCTTAGCTCCTTAGGGCCAAGTTTGAAACCCAAACGTTTTTTACCACGTTGAACCCAATGTACCATTCACCATCATTCACTGCCACCATGGCTTCCGCTCCTCATCGACGAAAGGTGGGTATCCAACAATCATCTCATAGATGAGGATGCCTAGTGTCCACCAATCCACTGGTTTGCCTGAAAAACGCGTGCGACCTGGCGACCTGGTGACGCCTCGCCATGCCTCGCCCGGCTGCCCTACAAATATGATGTGAATGGATTACACATGGATACTGGACAAATTATGCCGAAAAAGTGTATAAAACAATGTCTAGATTCAATTTCTTGAACACAATGTCCACCTATATGCAACAGATAAACAACAGTTACAATCACATATGCATCGCCGCATTCGAGAGTGCGCCGTAAGGCCTTCTGTCCCACGACGGCATTTGTGATGGATTCAGTTCAGTAACCGGCGGCTTTTGTTTTTCGGGGCACGCCCATATCCATACGGAGCATGACTTGGGGCCTACTATCTTCGCCGACTGGGCTCCTGAATTTTATTCCAAAACATGTCAAATTTGAAAAATCACTATCACTCATTTCCACTCAACCCTTCAAAAAATAGAATGTTCACACGGCTTGAGAGGTTCTCCTATTTTATTGTTGTATATTGATGTATATTGTTGCTTATTACCTCCATCCTTAGCTATTGCATTGCAAATCATTTTGTCAGCTTTCGCTTCCGCTGCTAATCTTGCCAATGTCGACACATGTACATCGAGACAAACCAGCAAAGTATACATGGGTAGACCAGTACGAAATAGCACGAAGCAATCAGATAATTAAGCATGAACATTTCATCATCTTCATGATACTTCATGGTGTCAACAAGAATGAACATCTTCAGTGATTTGTGGATGCCGGATGCTTGTGGTATTTTCCTCCTCTCATGTTTTTTTTTCCCCCTAAAAAAGCTGCAAGCGGTCCCAAGTTCCTAAGTCCAAGCTGCCGTGGCCCTTGTTCAGAAGGACTTCTGGCGCGATGTATTCCTGGGCCCCGATGATTGAACTGGCGACTCCGGTTCATTCTTCTTTTGCTTCTGCAAAAATGATGATTTCAACATTTTTTAAGTCAGTGACGCATGAAACATATTTGTTTCAATATTTGTGCTGTGTTTCAAAGAACCAACATTCATCGCGTCATGCGACGCGTCGGAAATGTCAGCTTTTTCTACGGATCCTTTGGGGATCATCCCATGAATTGGTGGAAACCCATTTCCCATTTCTCTGGGTGTGCATCTATAAAATCTATAGTGCATACATAAATATATAATATATATATCACATTGCATTACGTTTCCTTTCATTTCCATTCATTTCCTTTCATGTTCTTTCATTAGATAGATAGATAGATAGATAGATAGACAGATAGATAGATAGATAGATTTGATAGATAGATTTGATAGATAGATTAGGTACGTACCTACATTACATCACATTAGATTACATTTGATTACATACATTACATGCGTTCAATACGTTATAGCACATACAGTACATGCATTGTATACAGTACATACCTTACATACATTACATGCATTCATTACGTTACATTACATTATTACCTTATGTCACGTTACGTTGCATTACATTACACTACGCTACATTACCTTGCATTAAATGACATGCACGCATAAATAACATAACATAACTTAACATAACATAACTTAACATAGCATAACTTATCTCAACATGACATAACACAACATAACGTAGCGTAACATAACATAACATAACATAACAAAGATAACAAACATAACATAACATAACATAAACATAAACATAACATAACAGAACATAACATACGCGCATACATACACATATTATATATAATTATATGTGTATATATGTGTGTGTGTGGTGCATTTCTATGCTTTCTCTCTAGGAATTTCGCTGGCATTTTTTGCGGCAAAACCCTCCTGGCACCAAGCACGGCAATGGAAACTTCCCCTTTTGTAGATGAATTTCCCATGGATTAAAACCTCCAATGATAGGTGATTTTCTATGGCCGTGATTGGTTACCAGAGAGTACCCTGGCATCCATCACCCAGTGTCGGGAGTTCCGCACAAGGTGTAGGTGCGATGCTCAATGACCTTGGCAAAGCCGAAATCCGTCAACTTCACATAGCCGTCCGCGTTGATCAAAATGTTCTCCTGAGTGATGCAACAACTTGTACCAAGGGTGGCTGGGATCTGGACCAGATATCCGTAGAAAAAAAAGGAAAATTGACTGTCAATTGAAACTCTTCATTGCAAAAAAGGAATGGATAGGAATGGATAGGAACAAACAATGACAAATCTTTCAAATCACCAACCAAATATGGACGATTTTTGTTCCAGCAATAGCAGTATCTATTCACCAGGGTCATGTAGGGATTGTTCCACCCAAGGAGAAGTTTCACCTCCTAGGCCCTCCCAGCAAGGATATATCTAGAATGCAACCTCCATGCGGGAGTATGTATATCTATCTCTATATCTATCTATCTATATCTTTTTATAAAAATAGTATATCATTTATATATATCATTTAAATATCAATATATTTAAAGTTAATTATATATACATTGTATGCATGTGTGTACGTAGGTATGTAATCTTGCCGAATTGTAGCAATTCACTAAGCTGAAAATAGCTGAGATAAGGCTACTTGATACTACTTGGGGATGCTTCCGCAAATCCTAACCATCATTCAAGTGACGTCACGATGTGAAATCATGATCAAATTCATCCAGATGAACATTGGGAAACAGCCCATGATCCCATGGGGCTGAAGAGATTCTTCATAGGCCTGGAATGAGTCTAGTCGTGTGGTTTTTGGACGAGTCACCGGCTTCAGGTCACGATAGACGATGTTCAATTCATGGCAATATTCGAAGATGCCTTGGATGCAGCGATGCCGCATGATGCCGCCAGCATTTAAGCTGATTGGGGTGTCGTTTCCACCATGATGCACCGTGGTGGCTCATGGGTGTTTATGGTGAATGATCAGAAGGGCAGAAGGGCCACAAGCCAAACTAACTGCTGAATCGAAGGTCCAGCCAGAACCCCCAGAAACTCTGACTGCGGCGCCAGTTGCATGTGATTTGCGCGGCGTAGAAGAGGGACTGTTCGTTTTCGAAACGGCCAGCCTTGCCAATTCAAGGACTCCCTTTGGGGACCCCCTGGATAAGCATGGGGGACCCCCAACTCATCAAAGTTATATATATATATATTATAATTATGTGTCATTCTTTGTCATTATTTGTCGTTGTTAGTGGGGAAACCAACGGTTGTGGGGTATATACCAATATGTCTGCAAACATCTTGAGAGGCCAAGCTGCAATTTTTTAAAAGGCACTAGGAATGGCATGAAGAAACACATTTTTTATAAGCAAAGATCCTGAAATCATCCAGCAACAGTCCTAATACAGCATTTCAAAATCACTTTTTGTATCTTTTTTGTTGTGAACATCGCCCTTTTGGAAGCTTCTCAGTAAGTTTCTCAGTAATTGCCATGACCGTCATGGCTTCTCCGTCAAAGGACCTTTCGCAAATGCGTGAAGAATTCGCCACCCACGATGTATTCCAAGACCATGTAGATATAGCGGGGGTCGTGGAATGAGCCGAACATGTTCACGATGAAGGGATGCTGCAGCTTGGCCAAAATCCTAAGCGCCGCTGGCGGCCCGGGTTCTATGCAACCGTTTGGTGATTTACAATTCGGAGTTGACTGGAACCTGCAGGAGCAAAACATGGAACATGAGAGCAGACTCTATGCAGTGGGAACATGGAGCTTTTCTTACTGAGGTGGTGAAATGGTAGCCCTCTGGTGACTCCATTTCACAGTCCCGGCGACCCAAACATCCCACATCTCAGCAGAAACCGTCAACTTGACGCAAAGGCTCTGCTTCTCGCTCATGATGTGGTCTACCTGCTTCATCTTGATGATTGCAGCCTGCCCAAGGATGCTATGATATGGTGCCTCATTCCTTCCTTATTTTTTTTCGGAAATGGGATTTCTTCATAGTTCTTCAAATCACAAGATATACCCATACGCATCACCATACACACAGGCACATCTCTACGCCTGAACATTTTCTGCATACATACTATCAAAAATCAAAAATGGATAATCTATCATAGCATGTATTTCCCCATATATTCTACAGAAAACCATAGATTTTCCCATTTAATCTGGTTCCTGCAACCATCTCCAGTGTCACCAGGCTCACCAGGGCGCCTTTTTCAAGGTCTTCAACGCGTAGTGCCTGCAGGGTTGACCAATCAACAGGGTGGTTTAAAGGGGAAATTTATAGAAACATATCACATTAAATGGGAAAATCTATGGTTTCCTGTAGGTTTTCCCTTCAACCAATCTATTGCGACGGACCAACAAGTATAGCTTGGAAATGTTCTAAGTATAGGTTTTGGGTATGTTCTAACTACTTTTTTTGAAACCCATACTTAGAACATCCCCGCTGTGACGATTTTCAGATTTTTTTTTCCAAATGATGTTCTAAGTGTTTGTCCGTCGCTATATTGATACAATGATTTACATCTACCTACTATTAAAAATGGTGATTTTCCATAGCTATGTTAAATAACCAGAGAGTAAATTATTTGCTGCGTCATGATGTTTCTATCTTTTTCTTTGTACCAAATTAAGCCAACATATTCCCGCCAACGGGCCCAAATGCGTCAGGATGCTCAAAATATTGGGATGCAATCAGTTACTAAGTTTGAAACCCTTTGATTGCTGACTAAAATATCCATGATGATTAGTAAATTGATTGGTACTCATTGGTGATGCCATCTCCCTAATGGTTGGTGTGTTTTTTGGCCATGTACATAATCATCTTTAAACTTTCAAAATAGGGTTTTGACTCGTTTTCATGTCAACTCCAAAACATGACGGTCACGACTAGGTCTAGGTATGGCTCAAGAATATGGCAAAAATAGGCTAACAATTTCAATCAATCTTCAGTAATTAATTTTTACCAAATGCTTAAATGATCTCATGGAATCTTATGGCTAATCTCAAACATATTTGGGGTATTGACCATTTCCCTTAGCCATGGCCAAAAATCAGCCTATTGACCTACTACCCATCTGGCGAAGCCAAAGCCACAATGGAAGCGTCCTAAGAATCACTGCGTAGCTACAACATCACGATGAAAAACACGGCAAATATGCATGACTATATCCAAAACAAATTACACTATTATATTACTATTACATTTAAAGAAGATCGTTACATTCTGGTGATTTAACATGGCTATGGACATGAACCATTTATAGATGATATCCCGATTTCATTAAACATCGTTGATGCTCGATATTTAGCTATGTTAGATTGATAAGGGGAAGTTGTCATTGTCTGCAGTAACATATCGGGGGAACTTCACACGCACAAAATAAAAGCACAGCGTGAACGAGCAAAGCTCAAGGTGCACCAACGAGCACAAACGACCCGCAAACTGCTCTCCGTTCGCCATTTTTGGCAGTTATCACATGGTTTATCATCATTTACCTCGTTAAAATCCATTATATAAACATTGCCATATTTAATATCCCATTCATATCCTTTCCCATGCATATCCCGTTGCTATCCCCCTTTATTTTCGCATTAATTTCCCGTTATGAGAACTCCCATATATCCCAGTAAGATCTATGATAAGTTTGTGATCGTTTGTCATGGTCTGAAGATAGGGTATGAGCACCCCAAAGATTGATAGTTTAAATCATCTTTTCCCATTGAAATGGCCACGTTATAGACATAATATACTGCAATTTCAGACAGACCCATAAGGATTTCTCTGAAGATGAGGTGTTTTCCCCAAAAAAACATACAATTAAGTATAGGCATATCATGGCATATCCATATACCCCACATTTAACCCACACGAACTTCCGGTGCGAGGCCGCGGCCTTCCATTGCCCTTGTGCGTCACGAAGCGCACTCGCCCGAAGGCACCCGTCCCAAGCGTTTTGCCGAGACTGAAGTCGCCCACTGCGAGCTTTTCACCTGTCACTGGTGAACTTCATGAATTTCTGGATAGTCTGATAATTTTGGCTGTCCAATGGTATATATAGATGATAATATGTTTTGTATTATATATATATATTAAAAAAAAGGAGTATTCATGGGGCGAAAAATCTGAGATATAGCCTTCACCCACCCTAGTTACTAGTTCAAGTTTGCATATCCAGTCGTCGATGCGTTCAAATATTTGACGGATCATGTAAGATGGATCATGTTACGTCAGTAGAATGGTTGTGAAGTTCATGCACACGGACTAGATTACTATGTCATAAGAAGGGATGTATTCCCAGCACCACAAGTTGAAGAAATGAAGTCAAAAAAGTAGTTTTCCAATTTTGCAAAGTGCTGTTTTTTCAGCCTTCGCTGTGGCGAAAACGACATTTATGTTAACCTGATGCTAACGAAACCACACGGCTAAATTGTGGGTCGAGAACCTACAGTAGTACTGATACTCCACAATTAGCCCAGCCCTAACATGAGTCATTGGATGTCATTGGTATTTCAAGAAGAAAAGTCGTATGCTGGATTTTTTCAGAGGACAATCACTGACCACAAAATATGGCTGACCCGACAAACCTAAGAGTTTTTAGTAGCGAAAGTCAGAATGCATCGTACTGACTCCAAAATCTTCAAAACCCTTTCCTCCACTTTTGACCACATGCTTTCAAAAAGTCGGGAAATTTAGGATCATTATATATCTCAAACCAAAAGAACAACCATGAAATACTGATGGAAAAAATCCTACACCAGTCGATAGGTGGCCTATCCCATTCTTTCGATTCAACCATCAAAGGTCGTGCAGTATCATGAGCTGAACATATCTGAAACCAGTCAGCCGGGCCATTGCAACCCCCCACCTGACAAGTCCATCTCCTTTTCGGTCATGGTCTGGTGAGTCTAGGCACTGCACTAATCACCTTGTGATGCCGCCATGTTGGGAGATGGAGAATGACATGAGAAAACTTGCCGAAACAAGTCCAACTGAGCATGATGAAGCGGGCATTAAACAATCATAACATTGGAGATGGATGCATATTATGTATATATATAATTATATATATATACACACTTGATTACGAACAAAATAACACGCGAACCATCACGAACATGCAGAAACATGGCGAAATGGTAAGACTTAAATCACCAAGCCATGGCCAACAGGATGTGTGATGGGTCGGCCATTGGGATGGCTCCCTAAAGCGACCATCATCAGGAGCTTATTGTATTCTGAATCTATTATTGTATACACCCTCAATTGGATTAGTTACGAGATAAATATGCTGAGTTACCGGGTTCTTCCGGATATGGGCAACAATATATATATATATATTAAATTATTATATTATATATTATTTATTGTATATTATATATTATATATATATTATATATATAAATATATTATATATATATATTTATTTTAGATCCAAACAGATCCAATACGTTACATGTCACCAGCGTTTCGAAGGCGAACTTGGACCCTTCTGATCCATCCCTTACAGTCTCGGTCTCTGGAGCTATCCGGTAATACATGGTACCCTCTGGTAAACTAACATAACTATGGAAAATCACCTTTTTAAATGGGTAAATCCATGTAAATCCACTATAAATGGCCATTTTCAATAGCTATGTTAGTCATTACCAGAGGGTATCATAGCAGCCCCAAAAAAGGTGACCACCAACGGCCACTCCCCAAATCCTGGCCTCACAGCTCCAACCAGATGCCACCGTTGGGTCTGGGCGCGTTCGTGGTGGCGTGCTCCAAAGGGGCCACACCGTTTGTGGCCCAAGTACTTGAGCCGAATGGGTCTGTCCCAAGGCATTTTTGTCCGTTTTGAAAAATGGATTGGTGGAATCCAATGTGGAAAGGGACAAATTGCAGGTTTTCGACTTTCCTTTAAAGAAACTATCCCCACATATGAATTTTCTATAATTTTTATATTGATAGAATTGCGGGATGGCCTGGACTGGTTGGTTCTTCGAAGCCAATGAACCCATTCCAAAAATATGACGTATTTGGTCAAGTTGGATCATCATATTAGGATGGTGCTGCTTTGTGAATTCCCTTCCAATACAAGCGTATTGAATCTTGGTGGGATATACAACAGGGTTGTCCAAATGACCCTCTTGAAAATCAAATGATGAAACCAAATTCTGAGTCCCACAAACAAAATCAAACAAACAAATGATGGCAATCAGCTGGATTTCTTTTTCGCACACAGATCGGACTCCCCCTATTAACTATTGAGTTTTTGTTAGTTCGATCACCAAAGGGTGCTTTACAAAGATGAAGGCTTGGCTGGAGTGACAAGTTAACTGGATTTCCTCGAGATGAAACTCTATTTGCTGTAGTATTTTTGTTGAGTGAGTAAATTATGTTTTATTTGCATCGGATTGATATCAGAGAGAATAGTTTAGCCTGGTTTTCATTTGTTTTGGGCCTTATTGAAATCAAATAATTTATGCGCTCCGGAGTGTGCAATTTATTTTAAACAATAGTCAAAACCATTGAATACCAGGCCACGCTATCAACTCAAATATATTATTATACCTCATGGAATCCTCATGGAATCCATGAAACTTCCTGTATCTTTCGATTTGTTAAACAACAGTTAAACTAAATCACGCGCTCCACAGCGCGCAATTCATTCAAATAAAGTTCAAAGCCACTTAGTACCAGCCTAAACCATTGTGGACATGAAGCCTACCTACTTTATCCAACAAACATATTAAAATAAATTACGCGCTCCGGAGCGCATAACTCACCATATCAAGTTCAAAGTCATTTGGTACCAGCCTAAACTATTGTCTTGTTGCGCAATTCTTCTTGAAGGCGGAACGGCGCGAACCCCGTTGTTGAGTGATTCTTCTAGAACAGGGATTGGCCCGAACCCCACTGTTGAGTGATTCATCTTGAACGGGGATTGGCCCGAACCCCACTGTTGAGTGATTCTTCTTGAACGGCGATTGGCCGAACCCTACTATTGAATGATTCTTCTTGAATGGGGATGGCCGAACCCCACTTTTGAGTGATTCTTCTTGAACGGCGATTGGCCTGAACCCCACTGTTCAGTGATTCTTCTTGAACGGGGATTGGCCGAACCCCATTGTTTAGTGGCTCTTCTTGAACGGGGATTGGCCCGAACCCCACTGTTGAGTGATTCTTCTTGAACGGGGATTGGCCGAACCCGTGCGAACCCCACTGTTGAGTGATTCTTCTTGAACGGGGATTGGCCGAACCCCACTGTTCAGTGCCGAACCCCGTTGTTGAGTGATTCCTTTTGAACGGGGATTGACCCGAACCCCACTGTTGAGCGATTCTTCTTGAACGGGGATAAGCCCGAACCCCACTTTTGAGTGATTCTTCTTGAACGGGGATTGGCCCGAACCCCACTGTTGAGTGATTCTTCTTGAACGCGGATTGGCCCGAACCCCACTGTTGAGTGATTCTTCTTGAACGAGGATTGGCCGAACCCCATTGTTGAGTGATACTTCTTGAATGTACCATGCCTTCTGGTGTGGACATGTGGGTGTCACACTGGAATAATTTGTTTATTATCCCAGTGTCTATGACTTACACTGGAGCCATTATTATTCTGAGGTGATCCACATCCAGAATAATTTGTTTTTTTTAATGCAGATTTCATCTCCAGGTTTGTTCCAGTATGACCCAAAAACCATGTCAACATTCGACCCAAAAACCATCTAAACATTCGAATCTTGTGTGATCAGTTGGAATGCAAAATGCTTGTCGCAGTCTCAGGCTCCGTTTCGCGAAAAAAATCTGAACCGGTTCCAAAAGTTGTATCTAATTGTTAGGCCACCTGGTGTCCCACCCGTTCTCGCGTCATTTTTGTCCTATTGCGAATTTCTGAACGGCATCTTGTCTTTTGCATCTTGAACCCGTGATGTATCTTGTACAATCATACAGCTTCTATTTCTAGCTTGACCAAGACAGATCGAGAAACTTTAAAACCTAATTTAACAAGTGACCTGAGGAACCGTTTCTTGACGCCAAGAAACCAATCTCAAGGTCACTTGTAAAAATTGGGTTTGAAAATTTGAAATCCTCTTGACTTTTGCTGGCAAAATGACGGAAGTCGTTTTGAGGGATTTTGCATGAGTAAGAAAGCGAAAATGCATTGATCACCAACCTTCTTCCCCCAAAATTCTATCTCCGAAACCACCCGTATCCTCACCTGCACGCGTGTAAATATATTCTTGCTGTCAACATATGTTTGGCACCCCTGTTGTATATAGGTTTAACCTGTAACTTAGATAGCTTGTGACTAGCCACATATTTTTCTGGGCTCAAGGAATGTCAAGGAATACAGGATGTTGTGTTGATGTATTGTCAATGATTTTCAAATCAACATGCAGTGATCCTCAGCCCTTTCCCACCAATATTCTACCTCCGAAACCACCCGCATCCTCCACCTGCGGGTGTCAAGATTACTCCTGGTGTCAACATACCTCTAGGACCCGTGCTTTACAGAGGTGTAGCCTGTAGAGTCGCTTGCGCAGTTTGTAAATTGCTCAAGCCCTCTCTGCCTGGTTTCAAGGATGTGCAAAAAGGTCTCGAGCCATGTGTTTAACATTGCTTAACACTGTTTAATGCGGAATTCAATAGCCCAAGATGTTTGCTCACGTTTTTTCACCGATTTTCAAACGACAATACAATGATCATCAGCCCTCTTCCACCCAGAATCTACCGCCGAAAAGATCTGCAGAAAGGTCTCGAGCTATGCATCCAACATTGTTGAATGCAGAAGCCCACAGGGAAAGTAATGCAAGATGCTTTTCCACACATGGCAAAGAGCAATGAGCTGAAAATGGGCTGATCATCAAGCCTTTTCCATCAATATTCTACTTCCGAAACCACCGGCATCCTCCTCCACCTGCACGCGTCAAAATTATTCCTGGTGTCAACACATGTCTGGCACCCCTGTGCTGTAGAGGTTTAACCTGCAAAGTGGCCTGCTCTGTCTGTAACTAGCTAAAGACTAAAGCCCCTCCATTTTTCTGGCTTACAGGATGTGCAGAAAAGTTTCGAGACGTGTGTTTAACATCGTTTAACCTTCTTTGATGCAGAATTCAACAGGGAAAGTAATGTAAGATGCTTTTCCATAAGTTTGAACGAGTTATGAAATAAGAGTGAATTGATCTCCAACCCTTTTCCACCAATATTCGATCTCCAAAAACCATCAGCATCCTCCACCTGCACGCATCTAAATTATTCCTGGTGTCAACACATGTCTGCCACCCGTATTTTGTAGAGGGTTAACCTGCAAAGGCATCAATATTCTACTTCCGAAACCACCAGCATCCTCCTCCACCTGCACGTGTCAAAATTATTCCTGGTGTCAACACATGTCTGGCACCCCTGTGCTGTAGAGGTTTAACCTGCAAAGTGGCCTGCTCTGTCTGTAACTAGCTAAAGACCACCCTTTTTTCTTGCTTACGGTATGTGCAGAAAGGTATCGAGACGTGTGTTTAACATCGTTTAACCTTCTTTGATGCAGAATTCAACAGGGAAAGTAATGTAAGATGCTTTTCCATAAGTTTGAACGAGTTATGAAATAAAAATGAATTGATCTCCAACCCTTTTCCACCAATATTCGATCTCCAAAAACCATCAGCATCCTCCACCTGCACGCATCTAAATTATTCCTGGTGTCAACACATGTCTGCCACCCGTATTTTGTGGAGGGTTAACCTGCAAAGGCATCAATATTCTACTTCCGAAACCACCAGCATCCTCCTCCACCTGCACGCGTCAAAATTATTCCTGGTGTCAACACATGTCTGGCACCCCTGTGCTGTAGAGGTTTAACCTGCAAAGTGGCCTGCTCTGTCTGTAACTAGCTAAAGACCATCCTTTTTTCTTG